GTGATGGCATAAACAAAGTGGGAACGACATAGTACCGGTGCCCTGTTGACTGCTCCAATGGTTGAGACAGCAGTAGCCATTGATCTCCGGAGTGGGGGGATTGGACGGTTGTGATCTAATGTGGGGTGAAAGAGAGGAGAGGCACTGGCACTGCTCTTTTTGCCTGCAAGCAAAGTATGGAAAGTGGTGTTTTGAGCGGAAAAGAAATGAGAACTGGTTTGGACTTATAGTACTTGCTTTGAGTGTACAGAAATTGGTATCCTGAGGATTGGGTTCTTTGAATGGTTTGAGACCATAGAATCAAGATTGCCTTCCTGCCACGTGGCAAACAGAGAGTGCATGGAACTCCGTGCTTTGTTGGTCCTTGAGGTTAGTGTTCAAGCTCTCTTCTTCTCCACAAAAACTTAGGTAAAGTAGTCACCACAGAATTTGAGAATTGAAGAAGACCCATGTCTATTATTGTGTTATTTTTTGTTTTTTTGCAAGGAAGATGCATCGGAGATGGAAATTGACAGAATTTGAGATGAGGTGAATAAAATGTTTGTGACTAGCAACAATTTCCATGTCTATTTATTTTTAAATTCTTTTGGTTTTGTACAAAAATTTGAGCAAAATGTTTGCGCTATGGTAGAGAGGTCCCACATGCATTTGATCATATCAGATCAGAGTAGTGCTAGGGGACGAACTTCAATCAATTTTCAACAAGAATTCTATAGTGAGGGCCTTATATATGGCCCTTAGGTGAGACCCTATCTCATAACCGTTGGATGAAATTGGTTATCCTAATCCAACGGTTAAGAGGTAGGACCTCACCTAAGGGCCTTATTTGTCCCTCACTATAGAATGACTCCAATTTTCAATGTAAAGGAGAATATGCAAAATCAATCGAGTCCAAGGCCCAAATTCGGAGCATACTGGGCTACCCTTTCACATTTCAAAACACTTTAGCCTTGGCCCAAGATATCTACATACTTACAATCTGCCAAGTGTTCGGCCATGATTTATTCTATAGTGAGGGCCTCATCTAAGGGCCTTATAAGGTCCTCACACCCTCACTATAGAATTCTACGTTTAGCCAAACCTAAATCCCATGAAGGTATATGGCATTATTGATTAAAGTTGACTTCTGCCCAGAATAACTTATCAACATGACACAACACAACACGGGTCACACAACACAACTCGATTGCATCAGTCGAACTCTTGTGTAGTTTCATTCTAATTTTAGTTAGTCCTATATGTCTCATTTGGTGAATTAGCTTGAATAATATTGGATTGGACTTTAAGTATTGGACATGATTGACTAGTTAGGACTTGGGTTTTGAGTCTTGTCCAATCGAGACTCATGTCTCAGCTAAGGACAGTTTGGCCTAATTACTTTGGACGCTAACCAAGTGGATGAGTCTAGTCCACAATCTTTATTAATACACCGAACTAAATGAAGTTACTTTTTTTTTTCCACCGAAGTTAGGAAGGGGGATGTGAGTTTTCTCACACACACACTATCAAGGTGTCATTAGGGTTTGAATCTGAGACCACTGGTCGGCAAATCAAGACCCCTTTTCACTAAGTTAGACTAGTTGACAACTAGTTCAAGTAACTTAGAATAATCTTATATTGATTTCAACAACAAAGAAACCAAGAACAAGAAAAGAGTTCAATGCATGACATCTTTGGGTGGCAAGCCATACAACATCTAACATGATGAGGGAAAATGATAGACGTGCACAATTTGTTCTCCGGTTTGTGAAGTTATTCACTACTATTCTCTCTTTTTGTCCATACGACAGACAATACAATTTGGGAAAGTCTCAATGGCATTGGTAATATACCACAATGGTCGACACCCAAAGAAAAGTAGAAACAATTGCAATTTCACCACTGTCATTTCTTATCTTGTCCTGCTGCTGAATATGGAGGACAAGATAAGAAAGAAAGCATAGCAAAATTGGCATATATATATATGCTTCCATTGATTCTTTTAACTTTGGGCTTTTCTTTCTTATGATTAAATTCTCAAACTCCCAGAAATCAGGGGTGTCCTGTTCAGCAAGAAATCAGTAACTTGGGGACATGATTGCAATTTTAGATGGTAATTAAAATGTGATTAATTACTTGAGTTGATGACAGCTCAAGTTTTTTCCAAGAAAAACTGGAAAAGGACTCACGTGCATACAGCCTTATCTATAGCCAGAAAGCATGGGGCATTAGGCACATAAGCACAAACAAAGACCAATGTGAGAGCTAAGCTAAGAGCAAAGCTAGGCATTGCAGGTGGTAAAAATGCATAATTGATCCATGATAGAGAAAGACACTTTCATCTTTTAAGCATCTGCAGATGGATAAAAATGCATAATTAAACCATGATAGAGAAAGACACTTTCATCGTTAAACTCGAAATCCGAAAATATCCGACCCCACCACCCCCCCCCCCCC